GCATTCTGCCCAGTGCAAGTCACTTCCGTAGCAAAGAAGAATGGGCCAAATTTAAAGCCATCAACCAAAGAATGTAGAAGGTAATAAAAAGGCGGGTGAGCTGCCTCCTTAGCTATTACCCTCCGAAAAGCAGCTAAGGGTCAACCCTTGTTAATCATCGTTAGAGTGAAATTAGCGTTGCCTTCTCAGTGGACACGATACCACGCGCATTAATTTGTTTCACCTACATTTTGCATGATTTTCAATCATTATTATTTTAACTTGTTTCTACTTAATTTCTTTATACGAATTTCACTATTTCCTAATTTAAAGCCAACCAGACAACCATATCTGCCACCCTAAAGCCATCGCTGAAAGTATCATCTCACCGCATCTGCGGGCACTTTGTGTGCTGGCAGAGACATGCAGATACATATGTCTACTACTAACACACAAATATATATAAATAAATAAGCGCAAATGTTAAACTAAGTAAAGTTAGTAATTACAAACTCGAGCCGAAGAAAAAAATTGCAAAATAACGTACTTTTACTTACACACACATGAGCGCACATACACACACAGGTGTGCAGTGAAGAAACAACCTAACTGTAATGCCGCCCTAAGTGCACACTTTTCCGTTTTCCCTTTCATTTCTACACTTTTTTTTTTAATTTCTATTTTTTTTTTCACTCGCATTGCCACAAATTGCCGGAAGCAATTTCACACATGCAACAAAAACAATAACAACAGCGATTTTATATAAAAATGTAATGAAGTCAATTTATACATACACATTTACTTATTAGCTCAAGGTGCAACAGAAGTTGTACGATATGTATATTTGCATATGCACGTACATATGGATGTGTATGTGTGGAGCTTAATATGTTTACTGGCATAATTACTATTATTAGATGCACAGGTTAGTACTTCATTTGTTCAAGTGGCAATTAATCAATGTCGTTTTGTGGTCACAAACAAGTGGCAAACAGATGCATACACATACAAACATATATACATATTGGTATGTATAGGTTTTCATCTTTATTGTAATTGGTATGCCATCAAAGGTATGCACACGCACACACACACAGACACAATTTGTTACACTTATTTGTGGCAGAAATATCAGAAATCATTAGTGGTTAGTGTTTGGCAGGCATATGCAATGTATATTTGTGTGTTTGCACATATTCTCAACTTGATTAAAGAAGGTCGACATTGGGAAATTGTGTACATTCCACAGATGCAATTGGTTACTGTAATTGAATATGAAGACGATTATTTGAGAAAACCAATATTTGCGGTTGAGCTCAAATAACTTTGGTATTTCGTTTATTGAGAACAATGAGGCTATAAAAAAATTTAAAAAAAACGATACAAATACAATTTTTTTGTCAAATAAATTTTTGTTATTTAAATAATTGGGTTTTGATCGGTATAAGAGCGCTAACTTTAATTTTTTTAATTAAAATCGAATTTTAATGAATTTATTTTATAAAAAATTTAGTTAAAATATATTTTATTTCCTCAGCATCAGAGATATTAAGAGATTTTTAATTATTTTAAATTTCAAAAATCTTAGTGCCAGAATATCGATCTCCAAAAATTATTTTTTAAATACGAAATAGTATTTTAGACAAAGTTATATTTTTCAAAAGGAAATTTGTCTAAAAATTATAAATAAAAAAAAAATTCTAATATCATATATTTCAATTTAGGAGTGTGCTGGGGTGTAGTCAAGCTTCTGCAATATGCTGCGACCATTCCAAAATTAATGGGTTTTTTCAACTCGGTTTGCAGTTAATTTGCACATAGTGAAAATAATCATAAATGAATAAATTCCATTTTTATGCAAATTTACCAAATAAATACAAAAAGGGAAGAAAGTAAAAATAAAAAAAAAATTTTTCAAGACAAAAAAAATTCAGATCAATATGTGTTGTAATAAAATCCCGAAAGAATACCTTTTTAATGCTGCATTTAACATTATAAATAGGGTTATCCATTTCATGGTTTCAAAAGTACATGGCTGTATTTTGGCATCTGTTAAACTTAACTGTCAAGCTAAACATATTAAAAAGGCGTGACCATATGTCGTGCCTTAAATACAAAAATTTACAAATTATAAATATATTTGAAGAGTTCTGAAGAGATCTGCTTAAGATATTGTAAGGCCTGTGCATCATCATTTTGCTCGTTCACCCTCAAATAACGCCACTGTAATAAAAGTGCAGTCGAAGACCCGAATGCAAATACTTATCGACGACCTCAAGATTTTCTTATGGCACATTATGGTATATTTTGAATTTTGACTTACATAAAAAATCTAGCTCACACAAGGGCTGTAGTCAGCTGACTATTCACATACGTCGATTGGGTGCTTGAACAACGAGCGCTTGTCCTCAAATTATTGATGGGAGGTCCTAAACACAAACAAAAATCTCACTCTCTGATAAGCACGTAAGTTTGAGAAGTCCTTCTTTGATAATGACAAGATGTGAGGCGGTTATTTGAATGATCAATCATCAAATTTAATTTACGCTAAGCGCACAGACAGTCGCTTATCAAAAGCAATAAAATGGAGAAAAAACAAACTAAAAATTTATTTCTAACCAAAATGTAAGTATTCATTTTTTGTTTATTTTTCAGGCTGGAACAAATTGAACATTCTGAAATTCGTTAGTATATTGGTCGATAAGAAAAAATTGCGAGTGAATTGGAAATAGCAAAAAATTTATTCATTTAAGTTTAACGTAAATTCAAGATTTTACTGTTATATAAAGTATTTTATGATAATTTGAAGTTAAAGAGAATTTCAAATGAATGGAAATTTCATAAGAATGTAACAATAAGCAGGCGTTCAATTTTTTTTAGCAAAATAGAAAAAGACTGAGAGATTTATTAATGTACAAAGCATATCAAATTCTACTTATTATTAAAGAAAATTCTTTTAATGCTAATAATAAACGTTACATAGTAAAATTAAAAATTATATTAAATTTATTCCTAACAATTTTTTGACATTTAGATATGTTAAACATTAATATTCTAAAATCAGATATTGAAAAATTTTAAAATTACCAATGATTATTCGCGTGTTTTGCAAATTCAAAACTCTTGATTTGATTAAACAAACAAAAAATAAAAATTAAATGCATGAATCCAGAGCAGAAAAGAAATGGTTAATGAAAATACTTTTACTTATTAAATTAATAATTAATTTTTTATTTAATTTGATTTTTTTTCGTTTTATTACTTTTTTATTTTATCTTTTATTTTTATTTTATTTCATCTTATATTAATTTGTGATATACAACGATATATATATATATATATATATAGATATATATTCATAATTTATTTATAATATTCTTTTCTCATTTCATTATTTTAATTTATTTACATAATCCTTTTTCTAGTTTTCGTTAATGTTTTTAATTATTTGTGATATTAATTTTACTGCACTAGTTTATTTTAATTGATTTTTATTTAATTTTTCTTTAAACTTTTCATTTTTTTATATGTTTTTTACTTTTTTATTTGAACTTTTGTTTTATTTAATTAAATTTTATTCTTTCAACTTTATTTTGATTTACTTTATTTTATTTTATATCGTTTTATTTAATTTTATACCTAACAAATAGGTTTACTTTTTTCTATTTAACAAAAAGTTTTAGTTTAATTTTATTTCATCTTATATGTATTATTTTAACTCTTCCTTTAATTGTTTTTTTTTTTTTTTGTTAAAATTTGTTTTCCATTTTTATCAATTATTTTATTTTTAATAATAATTTTAGTTCATTTACAGAATTTTATCCAATATTCGAAAATTTTATTTTAGTTATTTATTCTTTTGTGCTCTTTTAATTAAGTTTTAAGCATTTTATTTTATATTTAATTTAATTTGCATTTAATATTTTCCTCTTTTTAATGAATTTTTTACATTTTTCTGATTTAAATTTATTTACTTATTATTTCTTATTTTTTGATTAAGTCATTATATTTTATCTTATATTATTTTATGTCTTACTTTTTTTAATTATTTTTTTTTAACTTTTTATTAACTTTTTTTCCATTTCCATATTTTATTTTATTTGCTGAATCTTTTTCGATTATTTTTTTTATTTATTTATTATTTTGTTTTATATTATCAAAATTCTTTTATATTTTATTTTATTTTATTTTATATTTTAATTTGTTTCATTTTAATTTTTTTTTAATATTTTTCATTTTTCATTTATTTAATGAATCTGTTTTATTTTTTTACTAATTTTATTTTATTTATTTAATTTTGATTTATTTTGTTTTATATTGTTGTATTTAATTTGATTTTTTATTTTGTTTAATTTATTAATTTTAGTTCGTCAATATTTTTTTATTAAAAGTTATTTTGTATTTGTTTATGTTTTTATTTAATTATTTATTTTTATTTTTTTTTTAAATTACGTGCTTTAGTTTTTAGTTTATGATATTATTTATACTAGTTTTTATATTTTTGTTTTATTTCAGTGTATTTTTTGAAGATTTTATATTTGTTTTTTATTAATTTTATTTTCATTTGCATATAATTTTTTCATTTAATCAATATGATTTTTACATTTTTTGATTTTAATTTATTTACTTAATCTATTTATTTTTTATTAAATTATTTTATATTTTTATAATTAATTTTTTTATGTTTTTTATTTTTTTTTATTTAAGTTTTTGTTTTTTTTTTTTAATTTTACTATTTTTTATTTTATTCTTTTTGTTTATTTTTTATTATATGTTTTATCATTTTCTATTTTATTTTAATAAATTTAATATATATATTTTTTGTTTTATGTCATTTTGCATTGTTTTATTTTATTTTGTTATAAAGACAAATAAAATTATTTTTGCTTATTTTAACCAATCACTACTTTCATTGCTCTATGCGCTTTTAGGTGCTTATCATTATTTCTTTGTTTCTTTGAATGTTAATTTTGCTTTCATTTTTACGCTAATTCTCCCACAAATAAACTTTTTTCACTTACCAGCAATATTGTAATCCTCATGGCCGCAGGCGAAACTTTTATATTCCAACGCAGCAGCAAATAAAATTCAAATTAAATTTCTTTCTTTAAAGATGATGTAGTAGTTTGTTTTAATTAATTTTGTTGTTTTTGTTGTTAAAAAAAGAGGAAAATAAAAAATCTGAGTTTAATTACAAAGTATAAGCAATTGGAAAAATAAAAATATTCAAAAATAAATGAAGAAATTAATGCGAAAGCAAGCAAAAGCCAAAACTTGTAATTTAAATGGCTGTATATATGTACATATGAGCACACTTTTCTGTTAATTAGTTAGTTGTTGGAAATTTATTGTAATTCTTTCGCTTTTTCCCTTTATACAAAACTAATAAATTTGCACTGAAGATGCTTTGGTGGCATGAAGAAAGTTTCACTGAGTGTTTCACATATGTTTATATGTACATCTCTACGAAATCTAAAAATCGATTATTTTCAGTACGCGGTATATTTTGAAATTTTTTATTAATTTTTCTACGCACACACGTACACACACGTTCAGAATTTGTTAGCGTAAAAATTTGCAAAATTATTTTTCATTGAAAAAAATATATAAATCGAAAATATCCTTTTTAGTGGAAGAAATGATTACACGCTTGTATACATTTCTACTTTAGTTACTGAGATTTTTGGGTTCATAAGTATAATTTTTTTCTTTGGCACGTATACATACATATAAATACAATGTATCTTTTTTCTTATGCGTCAGACGGTTGACACTTATTTCACTCACTGGAGGATTTCACGCGCACTACCGAACCGTGCGACGTTATGGTTAAAGCTGAACTGAATTCAACGAAATTAAAATTTCAGCCAGGCGACGTTGGCGAATGTGTCGTTGGGCTTTGTGGCTTCTTTTTTCCACAACGAAAACGACGACGACCACATTGCCAACACTCGATCACTTGCGAAGCGCCAAAAAAGACCAAGACACCAAAAGCCATGTAAAGTAAAAAAAAAGAAGCGGCGAAATAGTACCACAACAACACAAATAAGTATAGCCAAATAACTACCAAAAGCAGGCGAAGAAAGCGCAACAGCATTGAGTTGCGCTTGCGCATGCGCAGCGTCGCATTGTCATTGCTGCCAGCACAGCCGCAGCGTCAACCACCACAACCATTGCGCTCAAGTCGACAACTAAGTAACCAAAGAGGAGCTAAACAAAAGCGCAAACGCAATGAAAAGCAAAAGTGTATGTATGTATATGTATATGTGTGTATGGTTGACTCTTCGAAACAGCAGCAGCAACAGCAGTAAGTAAAAGTGTTAACAATTGTTGGCCTTTGCAGATGAGCAGGTTGTTGCGCGCGCAAATGTAAATTCACCATGACCAAAGTGTACGCCAAATTCACCACGCATACAGAGGAGACGTTAAAGCATCTATGCTGACTGTAGGTATGTAGGTAGTATGTGTGTGTGGGGTGTGTGGTCAGCGCGTGGCATCTTTTGAATGCTCAACTTGGAAGCATGTTTTGCCAAATGCATCCATCGCTTGCCAGCTGCAGGAGTTGACGCCGAACAATGCAATTTTTTATTTGTTTATTTTTTATTTGTTGCTAGTATTTTCTTTGAACTGTGTTGCAGTTGCAATGGGTCTTGTCTTGTAACTTTTCGTAGTTATGTGATGTTTGTTATGAAAAAAGTGCCATCATTGGCGGGGGAGCACGATAAGTGCTTAAACTAGTTTTTCGCAAAAAAAAAGTGTTTTATTTGATTTATTGCTCACGGAAATCAGTCTGCAGGATTACAGCATATAAAAAAGCAGCCACCTCATGTGATAACACATAATAACACATAATTGGAAAAAAAGGTTCGGTGAGAACCTTGACTTCCTCTTCGAGGCGGGCGAAAGGCATTTTTTTGCGAGATAATTCAAAGGTAACAAAGATTCAAAAATGAAAGTATAAAAAATATATTTTTGTAAATAAAAAAAAATCCAAATAATATAAGTAACATAAAATAAAGTAAATAAAAATTAGAATGAAGAAAATAATTTAAAAAAATTTAAAAAATAAAGAACTAAAATAAGGAAAATAAAGTAGAAATATATGACATAGTAAAGTAATATAAAATAGTTAAAATAAATTAAATGATATAAAGTAAAAAAGAAATTAAATGTATTAAAGAAATATTAAAATGAAGAAAATAATTTTAAGTAAATCATATAATTCAAAATAAATATAAAAATGAAATAAAATGGATTCAAATAAAATAAAAAACAAATTATTTGAAAAAATACGACATACTAACGTAATAAAATAAAATCAAATAATTAAAATGAAAAAAGAAAGAAATGAAATGATATAAAATTAAATTAAAAGAAAAATTAATTTAATAAGAAGTGAAATATAATAAAATAATAAAATTAATTTAATAAAAATATGAAATATAATAAATAAATAAAATTTATAATAAAATTAAAACCAAAAAACTAAATAAAAACTTAAATAAAACAAGAAAATTTGAACTAAAAAAAACTAAACTAATTAAAAATAATTAATTAAATAAAAATTTAAAATACTAAAAAATAAATCATTTAGAAAATAAAACTAATTAAAATGAAATAATTTAAAATTTTTAAAATAAAATAATATAAACTAAAATGTAAAAAAAAATCAGTTAAACAAAAATATTATATAAACTTCATTAAAATAAAATATATTAAAATTATTTAAAGAAATGAAAATAAAAAGTCCAATAGAAAAAATGTAATTATTATAACAAACAACTTTAAATTTATTGAATAATTTTAATAAATTGAAATAAAATATATAAAATTTATTAAAAAACTTACTTAAACTAAAACAAAATAAAAAAGTAAGACAGAGTAAAATGAAACAAATGAAGATTTAAATAAAATTAAACTACTTAAAAATATTAATTAAATAAAATAAAAAATTTAATAACCTAAATTAAAATTAGAAATATAAATAAGATAAATTTAACCAAAAAAATATTAATGAAATTTATAAAAAAATTAACTTAAATAAAAACGACAAATTGAAAATAAAAATAGAATAAAATGAAATAAGAAAATAAAATTAAATCAATTAAAAATCGATATAAGAAAAAATAAATAAACTAGAATAAAATTAAATATAATAAATAAAATAAAATAAATCAAATGACTAAAAGTAACCTAAAATAAAATAAAAAAATGTATTAAAATGAAAGAACAAAAACTGCAGTAAAATAAAATTAAATGAAACAAAATAAAATATAATTAAACAAGATAAATTGAAATTAAGAAGAAAAATATTATTAAATAAATTATAAATATTAATATGAATAATAAAAAAAAAAAATAATACAGAAAAACAAAATAAAGAAATTTACTTACATACTTTACAGGCCTAGCACCGCTTATGCGATTGTGGCCGACTTAACAACACTGCGCCATTCGTTTCTTTTTTTTTTTGCTCTTTGGCGCCAATTGTAAATACCCAGTACAGTCAGGCACTTCTCTACTTGGTCTTTCCAACGAAGTGGAGGTCCTTATCTACGACTTCAAAGTTATGACTGTCAACAATGACATGGGAGCCGAGTCGCGCATGCGATGGCAGTTTATGTGATAACAGGAGATGTTTCGTCTTGTCCTCGGTCACTATCAGATCCATATATTTCGCTTCCTTATCCAGTCTAGAGAAAGCAGAACTAACGGCGCGGCTGTTGATGCCGATAATGTCAATATCATCGGCGTACGCCAGCAGCTGTACACTCTCTTAGAAGATTGTACCTTTTTTATTCAGCTCCGCAGCTTTTATTATTTATTCCAGCATCAAATGAAAGAAGTCACACGATAAAAAGTCGCCTTGTCTGAAATCTTTTTTGGTATGGAACGACTCAGAGAGGTCCTTACCAATTTTTACTGGGCTTCTGGTGTTGTTTAACGTCAGTTTCAACAGCCGTATAAGTCTTGCGGGGATACCAAATTCAGACACTGCGGCGTAAAAGCAACTCCTATTCGTGCTGTCGTAGGCGGCTTTAAAATCCACGAAGAGGTCTCTTCCAAGATGTGTCGCATGGTGAATATCTGGTCAATGGTTTAATTACCTGGCCTGAAGTCACACTAATAAGGTCCAATCAGTTTGTTGGGCTTTAGTCTTTCACATAATAAGTAGGCTTATACCACGATAATTGACACAGACTGTGGGATCGCTCTTTTTGCGGATTGAACAGAGTACACTTAGGTTACAATAGTCGGGCAAGCCTTCGTCTGACCATATTCCGCAAAGTAGCTCATACATACATCTTGTCAGCTCTTCACCGCCATGTTGGAATAGTTCTGCCGGTACGCCCGCAAGCTTCCGCCGCTTTGTTGTTTTTTAAGCGGGCGATAGCTTTTCGAACTTCTTCACGGTCAGGTAATTGAACGTCTTTTTCATCGCCATCGAATGGAGTTTCGGGTTCACCGTCTCCGGATACTACATTCAGCAGGTTTGAGAAATGTTCCCTCCATAAATTTAATATACTCTGCATAACAGTAGCTAGTGGCTAGATCACGTCTTTGTGTCCTACAAGAGTACGACTTCGGTCTTGAAACCTTCCATAAGTCGTCGTATCTTCTTGTTACAAATGAAAAAAGTTCTAGAATAATTATATAACATAAAAGTAAACTAAAGATGAAAACGAGAGCAAAGCTATTAAAAAAAAAATTATGAACTTGAATTAAATAAAAATAAAAATAAACTTTAAATATAAAAGTAAAATTAAAGAAATTAATGATAAATACATTGGCCAGTCTATCCTTTATCTTCCTATAATAACTCGCTGTGAGTTTACAATGTATGTATGTATATAAAGATTACGAAAATTTACGCATGCGCATTTTGTTATGCCATGATATTTACACGGCTATAAATAATATTTTTTTTTTTTGCTTTTGTGTCATATTTATGTTCCGAGAGAAACCGAAACTTTCAAAGAAATTGTTTTACTATGAGTATTTTCTCATTTAAATGCATTTTCTTACTCTCCACATATTCGCATCGGACTTTTGAATGTGTTTATGTGTTTTATTGTTTTATGATTTTTTATTATTTTATGAATTTGTTATTCTACTTCCATTGTTTTTCCTACATTCACATGATATTACGCGAAATACAGGGTTTTTTTTTTTTTGCTCAAAAGTTACTCATACTTGCGTTTATGTGGGGATTTTGAACCCATATTTCGATTATATACATAAATAGTTGTTTTAAAATACAGTTACTCATTTCAGTTCATGTCGGTTGTGACCGCTCACCAAATAAAAAATGGCACGAAGTAAATTAATTATAAATATAATTGGCGCTTTGCAACTGCTGAAGCGGTTTTCAGCCGAGCTCCTCCTCCAATTTGTGGTTTTGTTTATTGATGTTTTTCCAACAAATAGAGGGACCTACAGTTTATACTAAGCCGACTCCGAAAGGCTAATGGTTCTTTTATGAGGAGCTTTTGTCAGAAAATTGGATATTCGATGGTATCAAAAGCGTACAGGCTGTATGATAGTGATATACGGCAAGTGGTAGAGAAGCGTGTCGTAATATCTGACGAAACGAAATGAGTAGAAGGTTCTACGCGTGAAGAAGTATGTTTTAATTTTGAAGATAGCATGCAGGCGTCAAGTAGCGGTAGCACTGCCGGTGACAGCGAAAGTACAGTAAGTAACAGCGAAGCAAGCGTCAGCAGCGATGACCGTGGCCGTGGTACACCTAAGTTGATTCGTACGGGTAAGCCAGGTCGGCCAAGAAAATGTTTTGAATGCATTGGGCACTACTGAGATGCAAGCTCCTGAGACGTATGAAGAATCCGTTACAAGTGAGCAGTCTGATTCGTGGCAAGAGGCAATGCGTACAGAATACAATGCATT